CAGATCAGTGGAAATTTGCATCAAGTTCAAAGGTTTGTTTTTGGGCTGAAAGTAGACAACCCATGGCCCAGTCGAGTCATCTGGATAGGCTCGCGATCGGGGGCTTTTCTGAGACGAACCATGAATGACAGGACGTTTTCGTCTTTTCTTGCCATCGAGTGGCAAACTGGTTTCATCTTCCGACAAAATGTCCATATCGTCTTCTGACGAGACGTCCATTTTGCCGTACTAGTGGGAGCGGTAAACGCTCTACCACTGAAACGATGCTTAAAACCACACAGACACAATAAACAGAAAAAAACTACAAACACAGAAACACAAAATTAAATTTAACTGATGGGCGAGAGAAAGAAACAGGAAAAAAAAACTTATCTGCTATACTACTACCACCGAGTGATTACACAGCAGCAGCGGAGCGACGCGCAGCGTGGGTGACCTTCGATGCGCGTGTGCGGGCGATCTTTGTAGTGGTGTGCTTGTATTAGGCTCGGCACTCAGCTGGACACACGATGATGGATGACCGGTATAAATGCGGAGGCAGATGCTGACACTCGATGACGATGATCTGTGTGCAGGTATGCGTGATCACGCACCGATGAAGCGCAAATTGGTTTGCGAATATGCAATTGCAAGTGAACAATTTTCTTTCCGATGGCGCCGAAAACCACTTTCTTCTCAGAAAAAAACTCACTTTCAGATAATTGTTTAGCCGGGTACTATGCCAGTAATCACTAAGCGAGAAAAAACTGATAATTTAAACCAACCGAATACCGAGAAAACTTCCGAAATACCGGAGCGCGAAACAAGTCGACTGTACTTCTTGCTAGGTCGCAGTGGGATGTCAGCCAAGGTTGTTATGATTCGCGAGGTGTTCACTTTCGCCAACACTGAGTTTCTAGCCCATCGCTGCCTGAAACTGATCGAAATGTCTATCGAAAACATAGACAAAGTTTCATGCAAATCAGAAACACTCATTTCGCGTGGAACTGCTCTTTATGTAATCGTAAATACGGAAAGGATACTAAAAAAAAGTCGCAGTGTTCAATCAAAACCAGCCTTTTTATAGATTGGTATAATTTTTGATTTCTTGCAAGCATCCGAAAAAAAGTATAAGGGTCTGTGCCTAGGGGCCCGAACGGAATCTTGACGTAGGATCACTACTGAACGGAACAAATATGTTGGCCTTTAGTTCTTTTAATTAATCGATACTCAATGACCCAAAGCTGTTAGTGATTTTCCGAACACTGCTATTGGCACTGATTGATGATTCTTTGCTGTTATTTCTCTCTATGGTTCAAAAATATTTAAATTTTGTAAACCTGTTTTACCCACCATCTAGAGATCTTAAAAGAAATTTTATAACGTAGAAGTATAGTGGCCCTGGAAAAGGCCATTTGGGATCCAAGAGATTTATATTCTGGTTGAAATGTTGCAGGTGATCAATGTTGTAGTCAGCCTAACGGAACGACTGCAGTGGAACGTCCGAAAGATTGTGAAGCTACTCAGAGAGCCTCCGATGCCCGCGTCCTTCAGGGTCCTACCAAATTTGTGGTGACAGTCTCCGTCGCAAATGAAACTGCCATTTTGGATCGAAGTGAACAAACTGGTGTACTTGGGTATCTCCAGAGACAGCGTGCTCTGTTGACTTCCCTGGCAGCAGCATTGCGCAGGTGATCATTTTAGTCAAACTCAGCTGTGTAACGTTCAAAGCATGTCGTTGCCGTTGGTAATGCTTCTCATTCCGATGTCCGCGTCCACTTTCTGGGTCTTTTAAAATTAGTTGTGACTTCTGTCCCCAGAGCTAATGGAATTGCAACTGATCACGTTCACTGAATTACAGTCTGTTTTATACTTGCCGAATAGCTAATTAGACCCCTCCCTTTTGGAGTATTTTTTGTCAGAGCGTTCCTAGTTGCAAGTAGGGGAAATGTCTCTAATGTTGGCCTATGGATCTAGGACTGGGCCCATCGCTAAAAATCTGCTATTTATCAATTTTATCTAGATGAACGTTACTAATGGATATTTTTGGTGGCTATTGAAAATTTAGTCGATTGCTGAATTTATGTATGGGCCCAAATTAGGGACACTTAGGCCGACATTACTTGCATTTCCCCTATATGGCAGCATTCACACCAGACCAAGACGTGCTCCGACCAGCATTTAATTGAATTGTTGTGAAAGAACAACTAGCGCTACTTGACTCTTTCACACCAGTGCAAGTCGATGCCGACCGGATGACGGCCGGATGTGGGTGCATTCGTCGTCGTCTTCGTATTGGTGCGATGCGTGCTGTTCCACTCATACGTCGTGTCCGACGCTTATACGTCCGTTGCTCGAAAGTATATGACGAAGAAAACGATGTGGCAAGCGATTTTATTGCCGCTGCTTTTCTCCTCCCTTCTATTCATTGGTGAAATGGTGAGCGGTCAACCAAGCGGTGAGCTCGCTTATGTGAGCATGCGCATTAGACTGATGCAAAATTTGAAATATCCGCTCCACAGTGCTCAAACGGTTCCAAATTGGGCCCTGATTAACCTCCCAAAATTTGACCTCATTTAGTGAGAAACTGACTTGGCACAAACCATTTGAAGTTTACATGGGAATTACTATGAATAAACTATAATTTCGGTTCATATCGATCTCAAAATTTACCAGTTCACTCTACTTTAGCAAATGATAGCTTGACATGTTGTAAATTTTCTCAGCTACAACTTTGTCCAAGATCATTTTTCGCTCAAATGCAAGGAACAAAAATTATTAATGATTCAAGTCACTGATGTCTTATAATTATGCTCATTCAACTGTTCAGCAGGCAATATTGGTGTTTATGGCGCGTAGAATAGAGGACAAAAATCATGGCTACTATGTCACACTGCAGAATACAGTGTTGCCCACAATACAGTTGCCTTATCTTGCCATAACATTATCAATCTCTTAAACAATTAATAACTATTTTATTTGACGTTTGGCTGAAAAACGATTTTCTGTAAAGTTGTAGCTGATAAAAATTCCCATAAGAATAACAATAGCATTTGTTACCAGTACAATATGTAAAGAGGCTAGAAGACAATGAACAAAAAGTTTTGCTCTCCCATACTAATTTCCATATAAACTTCAAATGGTGTGTGCCTAGTCAGTTTCTTATCAAATGAGTTTAAACTTTCGGAGGCTAATCAGGACCCGATTTGAAACCGTTTGAACACTGTGGAGCGAAAATTTCAAATTTTGCATCAGTCTAAGGGTACGGCCAGGGTAGACGCGATTCGCGACGCGACGCGACCAATTCAAAAGAATCTTATTATTTATTATTATTCCTTGCGTGAGTCGCATCGCGTCGCGTCGCGTGTCGCGTCTACCCTGGCCGCGGCCTAATGCGCATAGTGTCGTGTGTTCGGTTTGCGCTCTATCGCTACGTCCGTGTTTTTGATTTTCCGTTACATATATGAATTTTGATTTTTTTTAATGTGACCCCCAGTATAGAAATTAAAGACGTAGTCCTACGTCAAAAATACTTGTAGTTGCAATGAAGTTAAATAAGTGCGTTAAGGTTCAATTAATAGAAAACAAATAGCCTTTAAGAATTTCATTGGTAACGTATCGACTCCTAGAGCGTTTGATTTGAAGCGGAGTACATGGCATTTATGACATCTACTTGGTTTATTCTATCAACATAAAAAGCATCATGGTTAAATCTAGTTGAATCCTTGAGGTCCATGGGATTGTGACATTTTCGGAGAAGTTACGGTTGATTTCATCGGCCGTAAAATAATTCGATGTTTGTTTATTTGTTTAACCAATTCCAAGGATCCTAAGACTTTTTCATTGTTCCGTAGATGGAATCTTACGATCGAGACAAGAATCAAAATAATTCTGATTTGCTGTGCGTATGAGCTTATTTACAAAGCTTCGTGCTCTTTGAAACGCACGATGATCGATCAAGTCGTTAGAAACGCAACAAGAAAAAATCTGACCTATTAGAAGAACGGTGTTGAACCAAATTTTCTATTCCTTCATATTCCACGCAGCTTTCACCCATCCCAACTAATATCGATTCGGATTTTGAAAACAAACTCACCCGTTTTGCTTTCCCTTCCAAAGGACAGTCCATCCCTTCCACTTCCGAATTATCATCTGATCCGAACCCCGAACCGGAGAGTGATAACTTCAAAGATTATCAGACCGCTTAGCAGGTTCGAGAGCTCGTAAAAAATAATTTCTCTCATTATGGAATTTATGACCGCTACTGGCTTGGCTCCGTTGGCGGAGAACAAAGACTACTACTCAAAAAAAGAAAAGACGAAGAAGAAGCTATGCAGTAAAATTTTATCGTCCTCTGCCAGACGGGGTTTCCTCGTATTTTTCTTCTAATCACAGGACACGACACGATGAGAACTTGTGTAATGGCTACCTTACTAACAAGTTTCGACGGAAGTGTTAGATCTGTGTGTGTGTGTGCGGCAGGAAGAATCGATTAAAAACTCATATTTCGAACCGAATGGGACCCAGTTATTGCCAGATCCTAATCAAACGTTTGCCAGAGCCAATATTGAACAAATAAACCGACAACCGAACGGTCCAACTTCAACATTCGATGAAAAAGTATCATTCCAATTAAACCAAACGGTACGATTGAGTCAATATCAATTTTGATGAAAGTGGCAAAGACTTTCACGCCCTTACTCTGACTTTGTGACATGAGCAGTTCCAGGCAAAATAGTTGGAAAAAATTTAATATTTGAATCGAACTTCTTCGATTTGTATGAAATTTCATGTAATTGTTTGTTAAGGTCAATGATTCACATTTTCGCTAAAAAATTGAATCATTGCCCACTAACAAACAATTATGCAAAATTTAATGCAAATCAGAGAAGGCCGACTATTTCCGATGCGCCATTTGGCGTGGAACTGCTCACATGTTTCGGTCTCACACGGTTGACCGCATGCAAATCAAAGCCGACATTTCAACATTCCACCATTTTCGATTTTCATTTTCTACTCAGGAAACCCAATCGGACGCCACGTCGGTAACGTTACGCGGTGTAACGCGGGATCTGTCGGGCCACTTTCAGTGCGAAGTTTCCGAGGACGCTCCGCTGTTCCACACCGACATCCGGCACGCCAAGATGCAGGTCGTCGAACTGCCCAAGGAGGATCCGATGATGCAGCTGGAGAAGACCCACATCACCACGATGGAAAACTTCCGGGCCGTGTGCACGGTGGGAACGTCCTTCCCGCCGGCCAACATCACCTGGTACATCAACTCGAAGAAGGTGAGTTCAAATGACACATTGGAATGAGACGGGCGGGGCTTTAAACGGGAGGGTTTATTGCTGTGGGGCGTGACTTTCCCGAGGATGGCCATAAAGTGTGACTCTCGATGGGGGGGAAATATTGCGCTTTCGTCAGCGGAAAGAACGGTGGGCTTATTTTGGTTCGGTGGCAAAATATTTTGCTGGAACAGGTAGAAAATGGGACAGCTTGTGGGAAAGGGTTTTCAATCAAGTGCCGATTTACATTTAAATATGACCGTATGCAGGATTTTTCATAGGTATGATTTTCAACGCGTAGACGATTTCAAGGATTGAGCGCATAAGTTAAACAAAATAACGGTTGTTCAAAATAATAAAACAATAAGGGGTAATAGGGCACTCCGATACGAAAGATACGAACGGTTCAGTTTGAAGTGGAATCGTTACTTTCAAGTGGACCCTACACGATTGCTTATATAGACAATAATCGTATTGTCAATACATTCGATATGGACGTCAATACATCGGTATTGACAATATTTCTTTATTCACATCATCAATATTATTGTCAATAAATCCCCTTCGCGTCAATAAATTGATACATGTGAGATTTACTTTAGAAAGGGTGCCTTTCGGTGTCCGACCGAATGGCGCTTGGCTGAACGCCATTTGATCGAATTTTGTTTTTTCGTTGATTTGTTTTCCGTCGATCTTGTTTTCCGTGCTGAGCACCAATGCTACCGACGTCAGGGAGGCAGCTCCCACATCTGGATCTTACCTATCGACCCAACGGCTTTACTTCCCTTCCGAAGGAAGGCTTGATCAAAGATGTTATGCCTCAGAACATCCCGGCGGCGCCAACTGGGATGGAACCTGCCCAGTGGCATGCGCGTAAACAACATGTTATACAGTGACAGCAGGCCCAGCACAGAAAAATAAATGATTTGAGCCCGGGACATGCTGCCTACTGTCAAACGCTGCTGTTGGTATAGGCCTTGTCACTGGCCTGGATTGAACCCAGGCCTGCTGGGGTGAGCATTTGATCGAATATCATTTGGCCGAATGGGTCATTTGGCCGAATACGATCAATTATTAGTTTAATGGAACTCAAATTTAGTTTCAAGAACTACTTTGACCACATCCGGACATATTCCGGGCGCCCCAGGGGAAGAAGCCAACATCTGATTAGGATCAAACCCATCATACGACATATCAAATTACATGATAATTCAAAGACTAGTTCAATGGAACTCGAATCTAATTCTAAGAACCACTTTGGCCACATCCGGACATATTCCGGGTGTTCCGGGGGAAGAAGACAACTTCTAATTAGGATCAAACCCATCAAGCGACACATAAAATTACATGATAATTCAAAGACTAGCTCAATGGAACTCAAATCTCGTTTCAAGAACCACTTTGGCCACATCCGGACATATTCCGGATGTCCCGGGAGCAGAAGCCAACATCTGATTAAGATCAAACCCATCAAACGACACATCAAATTACATGAGAATTCAATGAATAGTTCAATGGACCTTAAATTTAGTTCCAAGAACCACTTTTGCCACATCCTGACATATTCCGGGTGTTCCAGGGGAATCAGCTGGTATTTGATTTGTCCCAAACCCATCATGCGACACATTAAATTACATTATAGTTCAAATACTAGTTCAATGGAGCTCAAATTTAGTTCCAAGAACCACTTTGGCCACATCCGGACACATTCCGGGTGTCCCGGGGGAAGAAACCAACAACTGATTAGGGTCAAACCCATCATTCGACACATCAAATTACATGAGAATTCAATTACTCGTGCGATCGAACTCAAATTTAGTTCCCAGAACCGCTTTGGCCACATCTGGACATATTCCGGGTGTCCCGGGAGCAGAAGCCAACATCTGATTAAGATCAAACCCATCAAGCGACACATTAAATTACATTAGAGTTCAAATACTAGTTCAATAGAGCTAAAATTTAGTTCCAAGCACCACTTTGACCACATCCGGACACATTCCGGGTGTCCCGGGGGAAGAAACCAACATCTGATTAGGGTCAAACCCATCATTCGACACATCAAATTATATGAGAACTCAATTACTGGTTCAATGAAACTCAAATTTAGTTTCAAGAACCATTTTGGCCACATCCGGACATATTCCAGGTGTCCCGGGGGAAGAAGACAACTTCTAATTAGGTTCAAACCCATCATGTGATACATCAAATTACATTACAAGTTCCAAGAACCACTTTGGCCACATCCGGACATATTCCGGGTGTCCAGGGGAAGAAGCCAACATCTGATTAGGATCAAACCCATCATGCGACACATAAATCTACATGGAAATTTGAAGACTAGTTTAATGGAACTCAAATCTAATTCTAATGACCACTTTGGCCACATCCGGACATATTCCGGATGTTCCGGAGGAATCAGCTGGTGTTTGATTTGGTCCAAACCCATCATGCGACACATCAAATTACATGAGATTTTAATGACTGGTTCAATGGTAGTCAAATTTAGTTCCAAGAACCATTTTGGCCACATCCGGACATATTCCAGGTGTCCCGGGAAAGAAGCCAACATCTGATTAGGATCAAACCCATCATGCGACAAATCAAATTACATTGTCAAATACCCATCAATATAGGTATATTTGGAATCGGGGTAACAACTAGAGGCCAAAATTCGATACCTGACGCCATTTAGAAATCAAAGATGGCAGCTTCCGGTGTCTGAAAAAAATATGAAATACTTTTTTTTTTTTTTGTTTATTAATTTATTTGATAAGGCTCAACCGAATTAACTTTACAGAGCCGAGGATTCTTTACAATACATCTTAAAACTATAGTCAAAAGGTACAACACAATAAACACTTTATCTTCCGCTATCCAAAAAGCCTCCTCCATCAGAACTGGAGCCGCTTCCAGTAGTCTCATTGTATGGCAAATTGTTGTACGCCAACGAGGGTCAGAGCGCGTCCATTGCAACAATGGCCGCAAAACGTGGTCAGCACTCACACACTCATCACGAAACGGTTGCTTTCCAAAGTCGACGACGCATCGACCGAAAGAACTACTGATGAAGAACAATGAGGAGGACCACACAATGGTTGCTGCCGAGAAAACAGACGATCGCGTAGCACACATCGAGAGTGGCCTGCTTTTGTCGACAGCCGAGTGAACACTGAAATATGAAATACTGTCAAATACCCATCAATATGGGTATTTTGGAATCGAGGTGACGTCTAGAGATCTGGAATCAATAACTGACGCCACTTTAAAATCAAAGATGGTGGCTTCCGGTTTAAGAAAAATAGGGAAATACCCAACAAACAATTTAAGCTGCAGACTAGCTTATACAGGCAAAAATTTTCTGTATAAGCCAATTTTCATCTGTATAAGCTAATCTGCAGCTAAAATTGTTAGTTGGGTACTGTCAAATATCCATCAATATGGGTAATTTTGGACGTCTAGAGGCTGAACATAGATATCCGGCACCATTTTGAATTCCAAGATGGCGGATTCCGGTTTAAGAAAAATAGGGAAATACTGTCAAATATCCATCAATATGGATATTACTATATTCAGGGTGATTTCTATAGGTCGGAAATTGATATTCGACGCCGTTTTGAAATCAAAGATGGTGGCTTCTGGTATCAGAAAAGTGGGAAATACTGTCAAATACCCATCAGTATGGGTATTTTTGGATCAGGGTGACGACTAGAGGCCAAAATTCGATACCGGACGCCATTTTGAAATCAAACATGGCCGCTTCCGGTGTCAGAAAAAATGGGAAATACTGTCAAATACCCATCAATATGGGTATTTTTGGAATCGAGGTGACGTCTAGAGATCTGAAATCAATATCTGACGCCATTTTGGAATCAAAGATGGCGGTTTCTGGTTATGGAAATACTGTTAAATATTCATCAATATGGGTTTTTTTGGACGTCTAGACGCTGAAAATCGATGTCCGGCGGCATTTTTAAATCCAAGATGGCGGCTTTTGGTTTAAAAAAAATAGGGAATTACTGTCAAATATCCATCAATAAGGATATAACTAAAATCAGGGAGACTTCTTTAGTTCAGAAATTGATATTCGATGCCATGTACCATGGCCGTTTTTAGCCATATGGCTAGTTCATCTCTTCATAATTGATATCCTGCGTCACTTTGAAATTAAAGATGGCCGCTTCCGGTTTCAGAAAAATAGGGAAATGCTGTGCTTTCCCGATTTTGTCAGTTTTTTTCCCGATTTTGCCAGCCTGAAGATTTTGCTGAACTTTTTGGGTTTTAAGCATGAATTCTCAAGCATTTCGCTCCAAATGACACTTCATTGTTTTGTTGCAACAATAACAGAGGTAACTCAAATAAACCTGAATTATTGCGACACTGCACAGCTGTATCTAGTCCTTCCCGATAAAGGTAACTAGGTGGCGGATAGAGCTGGGATGGCTGCATTACAAGTTATGGGCAGATACCCCATTCAAGAAGAAGGTTTCGTGATCGCCAAAATTAATGGAATATTCATATGCAGTTGCTACGCACCCGATGGACGATGGAGCAGTTCCACGAGACACTGGTTGGACTTACCGAAGAGCTGATCGGACGAAGACCGGTAGTCATCGGAGAAGACTTCAATGCTTAGGCAGTAGAGTGGGGGAAACAGATGTACCAACGCAAGAGGGCACATTCTGCTGGAAGCTCTGGCGAAGTTGGAAATTAGGCTGTTCAATAAAGGCACCACCAGCACTTTTCGCAGAGATGGCCGGGAATCCATTATCGAAGTCACTTTATGCGGACTGCAGTCCGTCGCTGGTGGAAACAGGAATTGGAGAGTGTGTGAAGGATATACCCATAGTGACCATCAGGCAATCCGATATGGCATCGGCCAATGGAATCCTGTGGCAGTACAGAGGACTAAAACTTGCGACCTGAAGTGGAAGACGAGTTGACAGAATCGTTAGGGAGAGCATGTGATACGACCATGCCGAGGAAACTGGAGCTAAATAACAGAC